AAGGAAGGAAGGAAGGAAGGAAGGAAGGAAGAAAAAGAAAAAGTTTAAACTGTAATAGAAAGATGATCTGAATACAATGACAAACATACATTTATCTACTTATTTATTTATTTATTTTTAATTTATTATTTTGAGACAGAGTCTTGCTAAGTTCCCTAGGACCTTGCTAAATGGCGAGCCTGGACTTGAACTTGTCATCCTCCCATATCAACTTCCCAACTTGCTGAAATTACAGGCGGGTGTGCACTACCTCACTTGGCTAAGGAGAGACCTGTCATGCTCTGCTGGGAAGATTTTAGTGAAGTTTTAGTTATCTGTTGGTTAATAAACTATCCCAAAACTTATTGTTTTAAAAAACAAAAAAATAAACATGGACTGGGGGGTGTAGCTCATTGAAAGAGTGCTTGTCCAGAACATATAAGGCCCTGGGTTCAATCCCCAATACCACTACCAAAAAAAAAAAAAGTGCCAGGTGTGCACACCTGTAATCCCAGTGATACAGGAGGCTGAGGATCACTTAGTGAGGCCCTGTCTCTGAATAAAAAATGAAGGGCTGGAGGGCTGGGGATGTGGCTCAAGCGGTAGCATGCTCGCCTGGCATGTGTGGGGGGCGCTGGGTTCAATCCTCAGCACCACATAAAGATAAAATAAAGATGTTCTGACCATCAAAAATTAAAAGATAAATATTAAAAAATTCTCTCTCTTTAAAAAAATAAAAATGAAAAGGGTTGAGGATGTATCTCAGGGTAAAGCACCCCTGGGTTCAATCCCTAGTATCAAAAATGAGTGAGTGAATGAATGAATGAAGTATCTCCCATGGTTTTAGAGAGTCAGAATTCCAGGAGTGGCTTAGGTAGTTCTCTCTCAGAATCTCTCCTGAGATTGCTGACAGAATGAAAGGCAGAACTGTAGTCATTTCAAGCTTGGATCCACTTAGAAGAAGGCCTACTCACATTGCTGTTGGAAAGAGGCCTCAGGTCCTTGCCACCAGCTGAGATTCCTTTTTTTTTTTTTGAGAGAGAGAATTTTTTTTAAATATTTATTTATTTATTTTTAGTTCTCGGCAGACACAACATCTTTGTTTGTATGTGGTGCTGAGGATCGAACTTGGGCCGCACGCATGCCAGGCGAGCACGCTACCGCTTGAGCCACATCCCCAGCCCCTGAGATTCCTGTTATGGCCTAATTTTTAAAGTGACATACTATCATTTTTGCCTCATTCTATACATTACAATTAAGTCAGGAAATCCAGGCCACACTCAAGGGGAAGAGAATTAGACTCTCTCTCTTTTTTTTTTTTTTTTCCAGTACCGGAGATTGAACCCAGGGGTGCTCTAACACTTAGCTACATACCCAGACCTTTTTACTTTTTTGAGACAAGTCTCACTAAGTTGCCCAGGCTCTTCTGGAACTTGCAAACCTCCTGCTTCTCAGCCTCTTGGGTCACTGGGATTACAGACATATACCACCTCACCTGGTTCCTAGGTGCTAACTCTTGACAGAAGCAGTATCAGCATGTGATACTTAACACCCCAAACAGCTAATATTATTATGATGATACTTGTCCACAAATCTATACATTCAATGCAATCCCAACAAAAATTTTATTACTTTTTTTGAGCTACAATAAACTTCCACTGGGCTGGGGATGTGGCTCAAGCGGTAGCGCGCTCGCCTGGCATGCGTGCGGCCCGGGTTCAATCCTCAGCACCACATACCAACAGAGATGTTGTGTCCTCCGAGAACTAAAAAATAAATATTAAAAAAGATAAAAATAAAAATAAAATAAACTTCCATTAGAAACTTAGAATACTAGCCTAGCATGGTAGAACCCACCTGAAATCTCAACTACTTGAGACGCTGAGGTAGGAGGATGGCATGTTTGGGGCCAGCCTGGGCAACTTAATGAGAACCTGTCTCATAATAAAATAAAAAAGAATGATGTGTAGCTCAGTGGAAGAGTGCCCTGGGTTCAATCCCCAATGTATCTCATGCACACACACACACACATACACACACACACACACAAAGAATTTAGAACACTAAATGATCATGGATAGCTAAGACAACCTCCAAAAGTAAATTAACATGGAGACGTTGCTACATACTAAAGTCCTAATCATTTAAGAAAGAAAATAATGTTGGTTCAAGAGCTGACAACTAGACCAATGGAAGAGAAAAAAACAGCTCAGCAACAGAGTTATATATTTACACATCTTAGCATATGATAGAGATGGACACACACACACACACAGGAGAATTTGACAGATTGCTTAGTAAATGTGATAGCACATCTGGCTCAATGACATGGAAAAAATAAAACTAGGCATCTCTCATCTCTCTCTCTCTTTCCTTCCCTTTGTAGTGTTGGGGATTGAATCCAAGGCCTTGCCTATGCTAAGCAAATGCTCTACTATTGTGCTATATCCCCAGCCCTAAAACAGGATCTCTATCTCATATCACATACAAGGATTAAAGACCTTAAATCTAAAATTATAAAGTTAATAGAAGAAACTAGGAGAACATCTTTGTGTCCTAGAGGAAGTGAAGGATTTCTTTAAAAGCACAGACCAGGGCTGGCAATGTAGCTCAATGATAGAGCACCCACAAGCATAAGTGCCTGGGCGAGGAATGGGGTGGAGAAGCACTCATCATCCAAGGAAAATTGATTATATCAATATTAAAGATCTTTATTCAACTAAAGATACTACTGAATAACACAAATGCCATAGGGGGAGAATGATTTTTACAATTTTCAACACTTAAAAGGATTAATAATTAGACTATATGAGGAACTCCTGAAATCAATAATAAGAGAAGTAGGGGAATAGGCCCAATAGGTATATGGATAAGTAGCATAGTATGTACTCTGAAGCTTAAGAAATCTAGGCTATGTCGGGGGCAGGCCTTTAGAAGGATGGACACATTAATTGTATGGATAAAGATCAGAGTATCTGTAGGAAAACTAACTCATTCTCCATTGATAGGAACTCAGAAATGAAGACTGTTAAATCCATCTCTTGTAAAGGTAGCTTTAGACACTGAAGGCTTGACAAGACCAAATGGCGGGCAGCAGGCTGGGACAATATTTGCTTTACAGTTCAGTGCATATTGTGAAAGTCCATTCTACGGGGCAAATGCTCAGTACCCTGAGTGACCCCAAAATTCATTCTGTGGATTGGGATTTACACCCCCTTAAGTTAGGAAAAAGCATGTTTTGCAGAAGGCATCTCAGGCAATCTACTGATGAGAAAATCAAGTCTGGCTTAAGTGGGCAGTCAGATAAGGATGAGGGCTGAAGCCAGAGTTGAGAAGGATTAAAACAGGGAGAGGAGTCCCTGACAGGCGGCTAGATGTTGGACACAGAGAAGAAAAATAAAGGGACCAGGGTCAGGCACCCAGAAAATCATCAAGGACCATAAAGTATGATGCTTCAGGGACAGTGGGAAACCAAATATCAAGTTCTTGATGGATATGTGGTCAAAGGTCTTGAAAGTAAATAAGACATTAGAGGACATTAATTACGTTGGCAGAGATCTAGTGCAATAGCGTGGAGGACATCAGATGCAATGGGGGAAATGACATCAGGGTGGTGAGGATGACGTCATAAACGGAAAGGGATAGAGAGGGAGAAGTTTCACGCGTTTACGGAATGAAGACTGTTCAGTGGGTGGGGGTGGGGTGCTGACATCAGGGTATACCAACTGCACAAAGGTCCCCTTCACTTGCGGAAGCGCGCGGGGTGACTGTTCCCTTTGCTCTGCCGTCCTTTCCTCTCCACCTCCCCCCCAACGCTGGCCTCAGCCAATGAGCACGCACGTCAAAGCGCGCTGGAAGGGCGTTCCGTGACGTATCCATATACGTCTGCTTTATCAAGCGTCTTCCCGCGCGGCAGCCTCCCTATTCTTCCTGCTCCTCAGAGCTTCCTGCCTCTCCAGCGCTTTTACTTTTCAATTTCCAGGTAAGTAGGGTAGGTCCTGAGGAGAGGCTGCTCCTCACCTCACTTACGTGCGCCATGCCGGCATCTCCGGAGGACCCGAGTGAGGAGATTAGCGGCTGCTTGACACGTAGGCTTGTTTTTTCCTGGGATAGGCGGGTCCCAGGCTCTGAGGTTCAACCTCTTGGTTGGTGGGAGGTTCGCTCTCTGTGTCTTCAATGCCAGGGATACCGGGCGGGACTGGCAGCTTAGGTGTCGGTAGCGGCTGCGTGACAGCCGACTTGCTGTCCCCGTTTTCCCACGTGACCGCCGCCATCTTGTTCTGCGGGCGCGGAGGGAATGCAAGGATGTTCTGGGCCTGCGCAGCAGCACAAAATGACGGGCGTGGCGGCGTAGCATATAATGGGCATGCGCTCTGGCGGCCCCAAATGTCCGCGCTCAACTGTACTTGTAGATTTCCCGCCTTTTTGCCATCCTCTTGTCTATGTTCTGTTCTGCCTTTCACTCTTTTTTCTCACTTCTCCAATGTCTTTTACTTCTACCACCTTCACTGTTTTTTCCACCCCAAACTCTCCCTGCAGGACTCAAATTCACTGCCATGTCTTCTGAAGAAGGGAAGCTGTTCGTGGGAGGACTCAACTTCAATACTGATGAGCAGGCGCTGGAAGACCACTTCAGCAGCTTTGGGCCTATTTCTGAGGGTGAGACGTGGGCCGGATCCACAAAGGGTTGCTGAAAGTTATCTCTGGCACCCTTGTGTTTCATGGAAACTTAGGAGAAATGTCAGCACTTCTTCTTTGTTTCTCTAGGATTGAGAACATGGAGAATTGGTGGGGGAATCCATTCTCTTTACTTCCTTTTTCAGGCCAGTGCTTACCACTTACCCTTTCATGTATTGACTGATCTTTGTTTCCTCTCCTATTTTTAGTGGTTGTTGTCAAGGACCGGGAGACTCAGCGATCCCGGGGTTTTGGCTTCATCACCTTCACCAATCCAGAACATGCCTCAGATGCCATGAAAGCCATGAATGGAGAGGTGAGGCCTCCTACCTGCAGAGGGGCCCTGTCCCCATCTGCCACTTCCTCCATTCTGTCTATTTTTCCCTCTGTGTCTGCTAGGGGCAGCGCGGCTATGAAGCCCCGCAGTGCCCACTCACAGGAGCATGACTGCCTTCTGTTCTAGGGGGTGGAGGGCAGCGGCAGACAGAGCCGGGCTGCCTGGGAGGCGACGACTGGTCCTGCATGAGGCCGAGAAGCCACCTGTGGATGGTTGACCTGCCCTGGGCTTAGGTAGTAGAGTCTGCAGACCTGTGGGCCTGGCCCGGAGAGGACCTCGTGAGTCTTCTGGGATGGACTCTGAAGCCTCAAACCAAGAGAGGTGTCTGTCTAGCCCTAATAGTCGGGCAGCTTAGAGGAGTGGGGAGGAGAACTCAGCCTGAGTTCAGTCAAGATGTAAGTAGTAGCAGGGGGAACACGGTGGATTCAGGTCATTTTGTGGGTTTCTGTAGCTCCTGATGAAGCCATTCTGGTCAGAGGAGCTTGTTCTGGAACATGGCACCCAGAATCTGGTGCCTAACAGGAATTTCTGGGCTCTTTTGCCCACCTGCCCATGCCCATTCTTCCCTCACCACTTCCCTGACTGACTGCCAACCCATCCTCCTTGTGTCTTCCCTCCCACACCTAGTCCCTGGATGGTCGTCAGATCCGGGTGGACCATGCAGGCAAGTCTGCCCGGGGCACCAGAGGGGGTGCCTTTGGGGCCCATGGGCGTGGTCGCAGCTACTCTAGAGGTAAGTGCAGTGGAGTTTGATTATGAGGTGAGGGGGAGAGCCACATGTTAGTGACTTAAGTCTGGCAATTGGCATTTAAATATTTTCTGTCTGCCTTAGGTGGTGGGGACCAGGGATATGGGAGTGGCCGGTATGACAGTCGACCTGGAGGTTATGGATATGGATACGGACGGTCCCGAGACTATAGTGGCAGGTGGGTAGCCAGAAGATAAGAATTCACTGCGACTACTTCTCTCCTGAAGCGTTCAGCAGCGTGGGTAATAAAAACAAGAATGAGGGTTAAGATTGTGGCTCAGCGGTAGAGTGCTTCCCTAGCACATGTGCATTAGGTTCGATCCTCAGCACTATATAAAAATAAAAAAAATAAAGTGTTGCTTCTATCTATAACTTAAAAAATATTTAGAAAACAACCATGATGCATAACTTGGGTTATGTATGATATGTTGATTGTATGGTCATATAATTGTAACATGGTCAGTGGTAATACAAAAATGTAGATGGTTTAACCCTTGCATTAACATGTAGTGTGACTTTATGTGCTGTATAAGTTAATGCCATCAAATTGCCTACTACATGATGTTTGTTGCTTCATAATCTTCTTTGTACACTTTAAGTTTACATTATGGTGCATATTATAAAATGTGAATTTTGGAAAATTATCTGCAGAGTAGATACATTCCTGTGTAACAATTATATATTTTTTCCCAGAAGCCAGGGTGGCTATGACCGCTACTCAGGAGGAAATTATCGAGACAATTATGACAACTGAGTTGAGGCATGCACACGTTAAGTAGGTGAGGCCTGAATATCTGCACTAAGCAGACCTGTGCCCAGCAGACCCTGTTGTGTTCTTCTTACCTTTTCTTTTGGCTAGACTGCTCAGCATTTCTACTGCCCTCACATATCTCACCAAACCAGCCCACTAAACATCATTCTTTGACATCCCTTGCTTCTCAGGTGCATGTCAGGGCTAGTCTACTTGCACGGGGTCTGAAAAGGGATTTCCTGTAATCCTACTCTTTCAGGGATGGAGGAAATAGAGGTGAGAATATTGTCAGCTCATTTTCTTCTGCCATCACAATTCTACTCCTTCTTACTGTTCTCAGATACACAAGGAATAACACTTCTGATCCAGGATCGTCCTTCCAAATCGCTGTATTTATAAAGATTTTTGGAGCTGCGCTGAAACATCTGTTTTAGTACATCAACTTCTATTTTTCAATTGAGCTCCCAAGGTAGCTTGTTAAAAGACCTTTTAAAAAGCTCCATGTAAAATTTTTTTCTCATTTAAAGACAAATTATAGCACATTTGTTAGTCCCCCAGGTATTTTTCTTTTTACCAAGTTTTTAGTTTGGGCTCTCGGGATCATTGCTTCTGGCAAAAGGAAAAGTTTAGCCAGACTAATTTTTTTTAAAGCTAAAGTTGGGGCATTTTTAAAACTTGTACACAATGTTTATCATGACTAGAAAGCAATTTCTAAATGTACCTATGAACAATCTGTGTCAAGAACATGATAAATTTTTCTTAAAATTCAAGATCACCACCCTGATTATACAGACAAGCCTCTTTAAAATGTTTGTGAATGTCATTTTTTTTAATGCTGGAAGAAAAAATATTCTGTTGTGTCTCTTGTAGTGTTTAGGATATTCTTCACAGAACTGATTAAAAATATGAAACCTGTACACAAATTGATATTGATAATGTTTATTTCTTACTCGACCCAGTTTGGAGATTAAAAAAATGGAGGCAGGTCAGGTGGAGGGGTCTTGGAGAAAATTTGGTTTAGAGTGGGGTGGGCACAGACTGCCAAAAGAGTAGAAGATAGCAAAATTTAGTCAAGTTTGCGGTTGGTTTTGGTATACATTAAAGCATGAGGTGTGGTCAATAACAGGTAAAATCCCCTTCTGAAAGGAATTAGGTTTCCATAGGTGGATTCTTGGTGCCAAAATTTAATCAGAATTTTCTTGGGTTTGACTCTGACTTCTGAGTGGGTACCCTTCTCACAGTGTTGTTCTGAGGATGTACACACCTAATCTCAAGACATGAACTCTAAAGATGCCAGTTTTTCCTCTGAAATGGTGGGGGTTATGGGAGGTGTATTGAACTTATGGTGAAAGAAACCTGATTTGAAAACTGTCTGAGAGCTTTGAATGGATTCATATTCCATGATTAAAACGTGGGCTTTTCTACTCCCCAGGTAATTTGACCTTTGGAGAGTCATATTTAACTAGTGCCTTTTCCTTGTGGGCATTTTACATTTTCTGTGGAGGGTTATAAAGACAGAACAGTCGAAGCTCTTTTGCATGGATTCTGTCCAGTGTTGTGTCTGGGTGTAAGGTGGTGATGGCCCTTCTTAGTCTGATTTTGTATCTAGCTGGCTTCGATTCCTTGCTTCTCCCCCTCCCTTTACTTGTGATTCTAGTAACTGTATTAAGGCCGCATGGGTTCTATTCCTTCATTGGTTTGTGTTTAGAACAGAATAATTGGTTATACCCATGGCTTACATTCAACCAGTATTGAGCCAGATACCATGAGATATGCTTTCCATGGCATTAGTTAAACTAAGCTTCCTTCCCTCATTAATAAGATGTTGAGACTTGTGTTAGTCGCAGTCCTAGAGGCCTACTTCCTGGGTCTCCCAGCTAGTAAGGATAGACCCAAGGACCCTTTTCCTCCTACCCAAATGGTCATGAATTTGCTTTGTCAGGTGGATGGAGACCCGGGAACTTCTGTCTCACCTACTGAGCCAGGCCCAGGTTAGGGGCATTATGGCTAACCCCCCCCCCCACCAGGTGGGTACTTGGTCTAAGGAGGCATTCTATGATGGACATCTGTGGGGAGCTAATGTGATGGGAGAGACAGGAAGACAACCCTTAACTTTCTTGTAGGCCAGGGTGGGAGAAAACTTTGTTCCCTACCTCAGGAGGGAAAATTTGCCTCTTATTCCCATTGTCACCCGAGGTAGGAACCTGTAATCAGTCAAAATATTCCTGCAACAAAATGATTTCCTCTGTGGGATTAAAAAGACCACAAATAGCCTCAGATCAGAATTAATAGCTGTCAACCTATTCTTTCTGAATATCAGGAGATTATTATGGTAATTCAGCTGTGGGGGGCCCAAGGCCCACAGCAGTTTTCTATTACCACAGTCCCTAATAAAATTCCAGAGTTGAGGTCAAAGCACCACACTCTTGGTTTTTGAAATTGAAGCCAAGTCTTTGTACACCACAAGCATGTACCCTACCATTGACACTCCTGTCTTCAAATAGTGAATGCGCATCCTTTGGTTTTTGGAATTGAAGCCAGGTCTTTGTATCCTACCACTGACACCCCTGTCCTCAAATAGCTAATGTTATAGGCCCCTTCTTAGTCTCCTGTTTTGATTTGGCCAAGAACCCACGGAAACTAGAAATTCCCACTCAAAGGTTCTCAAGGTTTGCAAAGACTTAGGTCCCTGGATCTTGCCTCTTAAAAAACCTTGGTGCAGGACTGAGGTTGTGGCTCAGTGGTAGAGCCCTTGCCTAGCACATGTGGGGCACTGGGTTCCATCTTAAGCACCACAAGTCTAAAGTCTAAAAATAATAGGTATAAATACCTTTTTTGGGGGGGGTACTGGGGATTGAACATAGGAGCACTGTACCACTGACTACCACTGTTTTAAACACTGCCTTCCTCTAAGATCTTTTGAAGATTCAGAATAATCACAATGGCTTTCAGTTTCAAAGCCCTGTCTCCCCACCCTACTTTGATAGAAATCATTGTTTTCAGACCCTACCTTGCACCTTAATTTCCCCTCTGCTTCTGTTTCAACATCCACAAAATGAAAATACTAGTCCCCATTTCGCAAAGTAGTTACTGGATCAGATGTACAATGTTTATAATAGACTAGGTCTCTGATATTGCCCCTATATTTTGGTCCATATTCTAGGATTAGGTAATATGGAAACAAACAGCTGTTTATAGAAGTTTGGGTGAATAGTTAAGGTATGTATAAACATTTATAACCAGTGTTTTGTCACTCATTCCTGCTTATCAAGATACCTGCCACTGCTGGCCTAGCTACATTTCTTTCCTCAGCTAACACACAGAACCACCAGGGCACAAAGATCTGGGTGTAGTGGCACATGCTGGGATTACAACCAGGTTGAGGCAGGAGGATCATGAGTCCAAAGCCAGCCTCACCAAAAGCAAGGCACTAAGCAACTCAGACCTTGTCTCTAAATAAAATACAAAATAGGGCTGTGGATGTGGCTCAGTGGGTCAAGTGCCCTGAGTTCTATACCTGTCAAAACCCCCCAACCAAAAAAAAACCTGAACTACCGTTTTCAAAAAAAATGTTTTGGTACTGGGGGTTTAGTGCAGGTATGCCTGTATGCCTTTACCACTGAGCTGCCTTTGAATTTGCGATACACCTGCCTCAGCCTTCTAAGCCACTGAGATTATAGGTGTGTGCCACTCCACCCAGCTCAGGTAAAATAAGTTGTGAAAAACTTCAGGTAATTAACACCCAATTTTTTTCTTGCCACCAAATTTGAAAATTGCAAAGTAACTCAGTGAGACCCTGTCCCAATACAAAAAAGGGCTGGGGATGTGGCTCAGTGGTTAAGTGCCTCTGAGTTTAATCCCCAGTAAGCCCCTCCCAAAGTAGGTATTTTTTAAATGTTTTTTTAATTGAACACAATACCTTTTTTATTTATTATTATGTGGTGCTGAGGATCGAACCCACTGCCTCCCATATGCAAGGGGAGCGCTCTACTGCTGAGCCACAACCTTAGCCCCCAAAGTAACTATATTTGAGTCTTACTGAAGAAATACTAGTGTGTGGTTATCTTATGACAGATGGGTTTCTTTTAAGAGGATTTAAAAAATATTTTTAGTTTTTGGTGGATACAACATGTGGTGCTGGCTGAGGATCGAACCCAGTGCCCTGTGCATGCCAGGTGAGCACGCTACCGCTTGAGCCACATCCCCAGCCCCCAGATGGTTCTTTATATATGGTGTATGCACAAAGTTAAAGCTTCTATGTTAAACAACTTAGGACATTCTGAATAAATATTTCTAGTGAGCTGTTGAGGTTTTCTTTTTGTTTGGTGTTGGAAATCGAACCCAATGCTAAGCAAGAGACTACTACCACTGTGATACACCCTAAAGCCCCCAGTTTTTAAATACTTTTGTCCTTTTTTTAAATTTTTATTTTTATTTTTTTAAAGAGAGAATTTTTTAATGTTTATTTTTTAGTTTTCGGAGGACACAACATCTTTGTGGTGCTGAGGATCGAACGAACCCGGGCCGCACGCATGCCAGGCGAGCGCGCTACCACTTGAGCCACATCCCCAGCCCATACTTTTGTCCTTTTATTCATACTGAAGGCTGGAAAATAAGAAATATAAGTCTGTTATGTTATGAAGTATAAGTTTAAGCAGGCAGGTACTACCTTGAGAAACCACATGGTAATAATAGTGGAATAGGAGAAGGGTTAGTCAAAGGTGTGATGAAATCTTGAAGTTCATGGGGTCTGATTGCCTAGAATACTTGTCTATCCCCTGATGAAGGTAGAAATTTGTGCCAGGTGCTTCCAAAAACCAGCCTCAGCAACCCTGTCTCTATATAAAATTAAAAAGGGCTGGGGATGTGGCTCAGTGGTTAATTACCTCTGGGTTTAATTTCTGGTAACAACAACAAAAAAAAGTAGGAATTTGCCACTTAAGATCATGTAGTGTGTGTGGTTTTTTTTCCGAGTTTGTCTCCTATGAGGTTTAACTGTGCTTAATTGAGAAATCCGGTTCACCTACTAATAACCCAACAACTCTCCCTTTTTCCTGGGTAGTAATAGAGAGATGGAAACATTTTAAAATTGCAACTGTCAATATTCACATTTTAAGAACAGTAAACATCTCAAACTTAATGTTCTACAAGTTGGTTTTTTTTTTTTTTTTTTTAGAGGGGGTTGTAATGGGGATTGAAGTGAGGGGCACTCAACCACCATGCCACATCTCCAGCTCTATTGTGTATTTTAGAGACAGGGTCTCACTGAGTTGCTTAGCACCTTGCTTTTGCCGAGGAGGCTGGCTTTGAACTCTCCATCCTCCTGCCTCAGCTCCCAAGCCGCTGGGATTACAGGCATGTGCTACTAGGTCTGGCAAGTTGGTTCTTTATTCACAGCAGCTTTTTTTTGGGGGGGGGGCAGTATTGGGGATGGAATTCAGGTCCTTGCTCATGCTAGTCCAGTGTTCTACCACTGAACTACATTCCCAACTCTTTAAATTTTGAGACAAGATATTGCCAAATTGCCCAGGCTACCATCAAACTGAGTCTTCAGAGTACTGGGATTGGAGTGCCACCATGTCTAATGAAGATTTCATTTTTAAACTCTTATGCATGAATTTGATATGATTACCATCAAGCTAATTACCACATCCATCCATGAGTTTGTGTGTGTCTGAGAATACTTGTGATCTGTGCACTTTTTTCTTTTTTTGAATACTTTTAGTTGTAAATGGCACAATACTTTTATTATACTCATGTGGTGCTGAGGATCAAACCCAGTAACACACACATGCTAGGCAAGTGCTCTACCACTGCACTACATACCCAGCCATATTATTTTTATTCCTTATTTTGAGGCAGCGTCTTCAGATTACCAAGACTGGCCTCAAACTATTGCCTCAGCCTCCCAAGTC